GAATATTGTAAGGCATGAAAGCCCTCAAGTTTAAAATGATATCAGCGATAAGCTTTTGGCAATAAAAATGGTCTATAATTACGGTGCACAGAGCACGTAATGTGTGTATTTAAAGAACGTATTGACAGTGACAGGGTCAGCGAAAACTGAGTAAATAAAATCCTCTTTGAACAAGCATCTCACATTATATTTGTTAAATATAAACGGTGTATATCCCATCTTCCCCCACTGAAGAACCCAATCCTCAGGCTCTTAACGTGAGGCTTCACGCCATCCTTGACCCCTGTTGGCCTGGCTCATTCTTCTTCTCTCTCCCCCGTTTTAGTTTCTACCTCCTCGCTCTCCATCTTGCTTAACTCTTTTTTTTCCTTCAGAAGAAAGTGGAATTAGATTAAAGTAGGACAAAGAAGCGGAGGGACAAAAAAGTGCTGAGAGTAGGGATTTGCATTAAGTGAAAAGGAAGAAGAAATGGAGACCGCAAGAGACATTATCCATTTAACAGATACCTGGAAGACAGGGAAGTAGACGGCTGTAGAGTGAAATTATCTAGGCCAGAGAGGGCCGTCGATGAAGCGTGGACGGTAATGAGAGTGGAGATGGATCCACGCAGACAGAGCGTCCATCAGCTGTGCATTACCTGCAGCATTAGCGCCAAGGGTTCAAGGGTCACAGTTGTCCTGGATGTGACTTAGTGGCTTGCTCACAGCTTTGCCAGCACAGACAGGCCTGTGATAGAAGAGCTGACAGCAAACAGAGAGAGAGAGGACCTCATAAAGTGGGCTGAAGGAGAAACAGGTCACTTATGGATAATTAGAGAAAAATATATTTTTTTAAAAGCTGCACTAGGCAAGAAAAATTACACCCATCTTATCAGCTTAAATCACAAAGTGGAGCTACAGTAGAGAACCACGTCACACCTTCACTAATTGAGATGCTCCAGATTTGCCATGTAATTAAATATGAGTGTCGGGTATGGAAGTGATGAAACTTAAAACTTTCAGCCCTTTTTTTCACCCCTATAATCGCTTCCCATTGTTTCCATTCTGGTCATTTGTATTAACATTCATGTTCCCGAGAGGATGAGTCCTACAGACTTGACCTGGTGATCCCCTGACCTTTCCTCTAGCACCACTTGCAGACATTTCTGATTCTGAGAGAAATATCTTGAGAACTATTGAATGGATTGCTGTAAAATTTGGTGCAGACATCCATGGTGACCAGGGGATCAATCCTAATTACTTTGGCAATCCCCAGACCTTTCCTCTAGCACTACCAGAAGGTCAAAATGTTCACTCATCCAGTGAAATAATCTCGATTTCTTCTTGGTGGATTGTCTCAAAATGTGGTACAGACATTCATGGTTCCCAGATGATGAGTCATGAGGTTGACATTTGTGGTCTTGAGTGAAGTAAAGTAAAAATAGCAATACTACTCTGTAAAAAATGTAAAAGTCCTGCATTCCAAATCTAAACATACCACTAAGGATTTTTAACTGGTTACGAAATCTCAATTTAAAATTGATTATACTACCGCTTCTGTCCACAGGGGCCGCCAGAATCAACACAAAATTAACGTTTCATGTAGTAACTTTAAGTAAAATCATGTTAATATTAGCATTAAAATATACTTAAAGAGCCAAAAGTAAAAGCCCTTAATATGGAGAATGGAATGACATGTATTGTCAGAATAATATATTATATTACTAGATTAAAACTATGGTTGCATTGATGTGTAAGTAACAAATGTTGCAGGTGGTAGGGGGAGCTATTTTTAACTACTTTATATACTGCTGGGTAGTTTAATCTATAATAATATAATCTACAACCTGAATCTGCAAATAAAGTAGTAACTAAAGCTGTCAAATAAATACAGTGTGGGAAATGTACAATATTTGCATCCAAAATGTTGTGGAGTAAAAGTATGACAGAGCACAAAGTGGAAATTCTACTATATTAGTAATGCACAAGTACCTCAAAAAAAAAAAAAAAAAGGCAACTAAGTATAGTAGTTGAGTAAATGTCCTTACTTCGTTTCACTGCTGGAAATGTCTCAACAATTACTGGATGGATGATCATGAAATCTGATACAGACGTTCACGCCTCCCTCAGGATGAATTGCAATCACTTTAATGGTCCCCTGACTTTTCATGTATCTCCTTCATCAGGTCAAATATTAATTATGGCCAAATGCTAACACTAATGACATTCCCATCAGCCTGAGTTGTAAAAATCCTACACCAGTCCTTTTCAGTGCTGATTAGCAAATGTACTAAAAGCCCAAACAGGCCAGTGGACTTTCCAAAGGTGAAACAACAAAAGCACCCAAAGCATGTCATTTTCAGCATATTAACTAATGAGCACAGACAGTAACTTTTTTTAAAACAGCGGAGAACAAGTGCACTGTTCAGAGATGAAGATGGACTCACCGTTGTTTGACTTTTTACCTCTTTTATCCCTTTGCAGTCCTTTTATAAACACAAGTGTTCTGTGTACCTTTTACATCACATCCCGTCTTTGTTATTTCTGGATATTCAAATTAATCTTTTTCAAACACTTACCTCTCATTGCCACTTGGAACTGCCAACATAAAATGTGCCTTGAACAGCTTTAAGTATTTTGTCTGTGTGGTATTTTTGATGTTGTGTAATAATTTGCATTTTTTGTTCTCCGGTCATCTGCATAAAATCTTTCACCTGGGACTTACAGAAAAAATCTAAAAGCATTTGCAGACCCAGCACATTGTAAACTATTTACATAGGGAGGAAGCCAATACTGAGCATTGAAAAGCTTATTTGGAATCTGGATAACATGTATAATCATCTGTAGAGAAGGTGGCAGTGACACTGATGGTTTAAAAATGATTTTGTTGAAATTTGATTTACCGCACACAGAATGTTACAGGAAGTAATACAGGAAAATATGCAGTGATTGCTGAAAATCTTCCTCTTTGCAGTGAGACAGCACACCGCCACAGGGTAAAAAGATCTTATAGCATACGTTTGTTATAGCCAGTCTATGATGTTTTAATTTTTTTAAAGTCATGATGTAAAGAAAAAGTTTGTCAGTTGGAATATAAATTAGGCTATTTTTTACCACCTCTCAGAAATTAGCAAGTCTAATCTCTTCAACACTTCAAGGTGTTTTTCCAGTTTATCGTGTGACCAAAATATTTGTTTTATTCATATATTGTTTCAGAGAGCTTGCACAAATTTTTGAGACTGCAGGATTTTGCATCAGACACAGTGACAGCTTTAAAACGGTTTAAAATGCCACACCACATATACCATTCCTGAGGTTGAAGGCAGTGAATTCTGAGTCTCTGACTTTCTCTCAATTCTTGATGCTGGTGAACCAAAACTCTCATTTGAGATCTTATATTGATGTGCAGCCACTCCACTGACAATAAATGAGGCTCTAACTGAGTATTCATACAATGACAATTGGGACTTTTATATCTAAACAAGCTTAATATAACCCGTTTATGACATTTATTCAACGCCCCAGTTGTTTCTCAGGGTGACGGCTGTTTCTCAGAAACAAACCCTCCTCCTTTCTTCACCTATGTCATGATGAGTCAGAGATCAAATCATGCTTGTAAACACATTAAGGTAAAACAGGCATTAAAAACTAAGTAATTTAAAATTGGGTCACCGACTTCCCTCGGATTTACAGTAATAGGGCGGGGTAGATGCTTCAGCAAGAACCTAAAGAAAGTTTTTACTGCCTGGTGCATCACAGATCCTCCTCTTGGATTGAAGTGCTGAGAGCGGCATTAACAGATTGCTGCCTGAAAAACAAACCTTATCCAAAATAGAAGTGTTGCCCCCCCACCAGTATGCCAGACATAGTGTGCCAGCCTTGAGCACACGCAGAGTGCCAAGGCCGAATCTTGATATCTTAGAGCCACTGTTAAGTAGACTCATGGGACACTTGCTCTGCAGTACCAGTTGTGGCTTGCTGTTGGTGGTTTGGAGAGATGATAGCTATCAAGATGATGTCCTCATTCATTTCTATGGCTTGGCCCTTTAATGCGCTTTACTAGCTCAACAGTACCTCCCTGGAACAGTAAGGCACTGAAACCGTTTTTAACATTTAAACAGGGCCCTAATGATGGCACAGACCTGCAAAATTATTGAGTAGATGGTTAAGATGTGAATGCTGCCAAAGTTGAATTATTACTGTGCAGCTGTGTGCTTTAGTTTGTCTGGCAGACAGAAACTCATGCCTAATCTGCCATCTCATTAGATACCCTTGAGCTTCTAAAGTAACCTAGATCTGGGATCCTGGAACTTTGATGTACTTATCCTATCAAAAGCATTTTTGTCTTGAGGCCGCCCCTTTCAGAATTTTTTAAGCCCAATTATTCCTCATGATCTCTGAAAAACGTACTTATATTTATCTCAGCCTCATGTTTCTGTAAACCATGCCTCATTTGAATCGTACACTATTCCCCTGTTGAAATCCAATATTCCTTCTTTTGCCAGAGGCAAACCCTACAGAAATCAAGAAGAGGTGCATAAAGCAAGGTTGCCTGAACGTAGTTTCCCTGTGCGGGTACTTGTGAATGTGTGTTTATGTTATTAAAATGAAACTGTTTATTTAAAAGTGTATATTTTGTGCAGCTTTGTTTATTTATAAAGGAGGGTTGTACAGCAGTGTTTATCAGCTGTGTGGTTCCTCAGATTAACTGAAAGCATCCGTGTACACATTGCAGGATGCACATACATGTATGTATGTATGTTTCTATACATATATACATATATGTTTACATGATGTAAAGCATTGCAGATTACAGAGCGATGAACAAGTGCCCCCAGTGATGTATAGAAATTGTTATTAATGTCTCCTGGGGATTCAGATCACAAGATCCTGCTCTTTAAACAGTTTACTGAGTCTCACCTCTGAAAGCCGTGACTATCCAAATGCTGTGCTGCTGGTGTTGTATGATATGAAGTAATGAGGATGTACAAATTAATTTACATAATTGTTGTTTAATTGCAGCAGCCAAGGGCGATAAGGCTGCAGCAGCCCCTGCTGGTAAGTGCCTTCATGACATCTAATCTGAGCCCACAAGCTGTGCTCCAGAAATCCAATTTATTTTTGAGTTACGCATACAGTAATCAGCTATTATACATTTAAACTGAAAAACAAATATTTTAATAAAAGCGTCTCATAAAGATTGTTTAATTTTCTAATACATTTTTTTCCTTTCTCTCTTTTTCAGACAAGAAGGGTAAGCAAAGCACAATGCATTCAGTGTTTTGTTTGTCTGTGTGCCCCGTAGACATAACTGTCTATAGATCATCCTCATCATCATCCGCACCATCATCTTCATCACTGTCATCGTCATCTTCATCTTCATCCACAAAATAATGTGTGTCTTTCCCCTCATTCAGAGAAGCCAGCAGAGGAGGAGGGTAAGAGTTGCAGATGAAACAAACACAGAAGCAATGAACTTCTGTGGGGATGGGACTGAGTGTGGAGATGCATGATGCTATATTATATTATATACATTCATACATACATAATATTCTTTTATTAGCACTGAGAACATGTTATGAGTTTATTTTTAGCACCAGAGATGCTAATTAAATTATGTGTTAGGCGCAAAATAGAAGGTGTTTGATTTATAGGTTACACGGTATGTATAAGTGTGTGTTTGTATTTGACTTTCCTATTTTAGCTTGGGTATACTTGAATCTGCAAATGCATACTGCACATGCAAATTAATCTTTCACATTTGTCCTTCAGCTACCATTGTAAAAGTGTCTTGTTAGCACTGCTAGCATTCCTCTTTTAAACCTTATGGGTGCTGACTACAGCTGAAGGCTTTGGCCTATGCAGTTACAGTTTTAAAAAGTTGCTCATCGCGTTGAGACGACATGGGATAACCACCTATTTATATCCACCTTTTAAGTTTGCCATGAAGCTTTAAGAGCAAAATTAAAGTTTGCTTCAAATTTAAGAGTGAAAAACTGATTTAATTGAAATTGAAATCTGCTGTAATCTAATCGTGTTACAGAAAAATCTGACTGCAACATCGGTAATAGTACAAAGACAACATTATCTTTCTTCTACAGTGGCTTTGCAGCCTTATTTTGTGATATTTTTAAACAGTCACACAGTGAGAATAACCACTCACTCCACAGACTTGGTAGACCACAATGCAACACAGTGAAAAGACTTGTTTTTGGAGCAAAGGGCACAGGTCTTCATTAGAACTGTGTTCAAGCAGGCTTCATCATTAGACAGCTGCTTACTGTGACAAGCTATGATGGCAAAAAAAAGAAAAAAAAAACACAAACATGGAAGACAAAGTCGTCTCTTCAGACTATTTGTTATACAATTTTGTTCTGTAACAACATTTTTTAAAACTGGAGTGTGACACAGGTTCACACAACGCTGATTAAGCCTATCAACGAGCACCAGTATTGATGTGTTTTACATCAACCAGCAATGCCAGCGTTTTAAATCATTTTTAATTTAGTTTCATTGGCAAACGGTTGTATGTGTTTTAGTTTACTTCCTTTGATTTTTTGTTGAGATAAGGACTCATTCATTGTTAGTTAAACTGTGTTTGTATGGAACAGTGACTGTGTGGTGGACTTCAAACTCTTGTGTTTTCTTGTGTAATAACTCTCACTGCTAAATCAATGTCAAAGCTATCTAAACTGTGACGTCCCCTTCATTTAAAAATCTATTTGGAAACACTTAAGGATTCATTTTAAAATTATTTCCTGGAAAGTTTCTTCGAAGAAACTATGGAATTTGGTGCTAATTTGGTACAACTGAACACTGTAGTTTCAGTGTACAATTAGTATGCCCCCAATTGATTAATTGAAATTAATTGAGTCAGCTTAACATTCAAAAATGTAAACTTTCTCCTCAGACAAGAATAAATTTCAGCATAATACAGTGTGAAGAATAAGGTTTCCAGTAATGAATCACTAATGAATGAATAGTCTATTTAACGCTGCCATAATAGATATATTTTTTAATCTGTTATCTAATAACAATGTGAAAACGATGTGACAATGCAGAAGGGGTTGCTCATAGTGATAAATCTACAGAGAGTTATCACCTGAATCTACAACTCCCCTCGGCTTTACAGAACTTTATAGTGAGTTTCAGCTCATTGTACGCTATAAAAACACACTGTTCATGACCTGCTCAGCAGCAAAAAGCAGACAGACATGAATAGAACCTAACTGGTGAACACAGTGGAACATTTTGAAGCTAAAAAGCCAGATATTTCCCTCATGAGTTGGTGGAAACAGAGCTAAAACAGATTGAATATTGGACTTACATTCAGGTGGTCAGAAACACAACTCCAAATGAAGGATAATGTTGCTCTGTAACTGCTGGATGTGTTAATAAGCAACAGTTTGATTCACGATCCTAACTTTACAGTTGATATGTCAATGGTGTGATTATAGCTTGTTTCTGCTGCTCACAAGAGGCCAAAAAAAGCAGTTATTGCAGGCAAAATTGACAGTTTAAACAAAATCTCTAACTAATGCTGTATTCAGGCAGACTCCATCAGAATTCACCATGAAACAGCTTTCTCTCATTTCCCTAAAAGTAGTACCAAACTACATAGTCTTTCCAAGAAACTCCCAGGAAACTATGGCATTAAGACATTAATGGATAAAATAAAATTATTTATTTAATTATCAATTATTATAATCTTAAAATATTCTGATGCAGTGATACAGGGGACCATACAGCAGCTCCACTGAACCTACACTCAGTGGGATATAGTAGAACTGATATGGAAATACAGGCTAGTTTATGTAAAATTTACCAGTAATTTGTTGTTCTCTCTCTTTTGTTTTGTGTCTCTGATCGTCACTACACTTCATGAACAGTTAGTCAATGTCAAGATGATACGTAATATAAGATGTTTTGTATGTGCGAGAAAGAAGACTGAGATAGATTCAGAATGGCAGATTGCTCCTCTCATTTCAGTTCGCCATGTGCCTGAAAATCCTGACCTTTCATTTCCAATCCATAGTGAAGGGATACATTCAGCTAAATGTGTGAAATAATTGTGTGTGTGGGTGTAGTAGGCCACAGCAGAGTAGCTACATGATATGTGAGATGTGTGTACTGTATTTACGTATGGATCAGGTAGAATCATGTACTGTCCTGCAACATTGCATTGTTTTATTTGTGAAGCACAAGCATACATCTTTATGGAGATTTTGTCTGCTAGCAGCACGTATGTATTAATGAGTAACGAGTCCCCTGAGAGTAAAACGTGCTTATTTGTGAATGTGTACTGGTTTTAGTTCACCTTGTTGGATCAAATGTCAATTCATGCTGTGGAGCAACTTTAATAGAGAGTACAAGCCAGAAAGTTGTACAGTACACGCGTTTCTGTGGGTGTCCACGTGTGTGTGTATTTCAGTGTGTATGTGCAGTTGCTATCATTCGTGATTAATTATTGCATAAACTTTCTGTGGCTTGCTGAGAGTGATTAAATGTGTGTGGCTGCAGATGCAATGACAAGGTAGAGCAGTGAGTAATACTAATACTGCAGCTCATTTCAGTCGCTGTCTTTTAAAGGGGAACGCTGGCCAACCTACAGTAATATCCCAAAATAATTTATTATAACCAATGTAACATTGACCAGAAAGAACATTGATGACACAACTTTAAAAATGATAGCATTATCCTGGAGAATCCTGTGAACAATATTCACGTTTCTCTGCCTCATTTCTTTGCCCATGTGTGGCCATGTGATATGTGTTTTCAGGCGTGTTGGTATGGACAGAGATTGTTTCTGAAAAGGTGCTAAAGTGCTCATCTGGACAGAGATCCAGTATTGTGGATGTAGCCTTAGTCTGTTTTTAACTCCCTGACCTTTTTGTTTAACCTGCCATAGCTTATTTACAGCTCCTGTGACACTGAAGTTCTAAAGGCCTTTAAGGGGAAATACACTGATTTTCAATATTTAGTTGTGTTTCCGGGTGTTGGGGGGGAGTACTGCTGCATATGTGCTGAAAAAGTAGTTTAATGCCTTGCGTGTCCCCAGAAGGAGCTGAAGTCCGATAAATGTCAGGGACCATTATAGCCCACTCCTCACCTCTGCTTGAGGCTAGCAGCTTGAGGCCACATTAGCTGCTACTACCATAACGCACCTGAATCTCTGACTGAACTGTCGGCAGTGGCAGTTGCATTGTGGGTAAAGTAGGCATCAGGATTTGACAAGGATGAGAAGAATGTGCTGGATCAATTATAAATCTAGATAAATAAAGCATAGCAGTGTCATTTTACACACACTCACACACCCCTGTTCTTGGCCCTGAAAACAATTTATTTTTCTCACGCAATAATTAAAGGGTAATTTTGGTATTTTTCAGTCTGGACCTTATTTCCCCATGTTTTTGTGTCAAACTGAATAATGAGGACAACAAGTTCTGATTGTGGTCCAGTACTGAGTGAGAGCACTGAAGGCTGCAGCTGCAAAACAGGTTACAGTGTAATCCTTACAGGCAATTGTGCACTGTCAAAATAAATCCATCAAAAGTGCATGTTTATGCCGCTGACCGGCTCAGATTGTTATTATAAGTGTATAAAGAAATTAAACGTTTTCTGTACTTTTCACTTGATCCGGTCTGTGTAAAGTGAGAAGTCTCATTTTGAAATCTCGTCTGTGGGCATCGGGTCACATCACCCACAGGAACACCACCAGTCTCCAGAGCTTTGCAGCCTTTCAGCAGCTGGTTCATCCTCCTCCTCTTCCTGGAACAAGTCACCTCCTACTCATCTTCCTGGAACGAGTCACCTCTCCCGAGATTTCAGAATGAGACCTTTCCTCGAGTGAGACTTGGTTAGACACGCAGAGGATCAAGCAAAAGGAACAGAAACCTTTTAATTTCTCTGGAGGGTCATGTTGTCAGAGCCGGTCAGTAGCAAAAACAAGCACTTTTAATGGATTTAATTTGATGGTGTGCAATTGCCCATAAGGATGACACTGTAGCCCGTTTTATGGCTGCATAGTGCTCTCACTCAGTACTACTGGACCAAAGTCAAACCTTGTTGTCCCCATTAGTCACGTTGACACAAAAACACATGAAAATGAGGTTGAAAAATACAGAATTTAAGCCTTTAAGACGCAGCATATGATTTGGATCCGGCCTGACTCGGGTCACAGATCAAATATCTGATACTAAGAACCAAGGGGAGCCAGTAAGAGTCAGTGCCGCAGTCTAAAGAGAACAGTAACTTTGCACGGCATGGAAAAACATTATCAAACGTTGCAAATTATACACACGTAACAGGAAAAGCACATCATTTGAAGTGACTCCAGGGGGTCATTATTTTTTATAATTTTCAAAACCGCTGCCGTTCCCCTTTACATTATTATGTCACTTTCAGTGACAGAGATGCAGCCTGCAGCAGATGCTACTGTCCTGGCTAAATAGTTTGTGTGTGTGTGTGTGTGTGTATGTGTGTGTGTGCTCATTGTGGCTTTTCTCATCTGTTAAATTGAACACTTCGAATTATCTCGAGCCATTGCTGACTCATGAAGCTAAACGTTATTCCATCGTACTGCACGTGTGTGTTTATGTACAGTATGCATATGAAATGCTTACAGTACATTATATTTGCATTACCACTCATTTGCTCCAGTTCATCTGCTTAACCTGTGCTTATTCTTCATTAACAGATGATCAACCTTCTGTAGGTAAGCGCTTTGCTTTGTCATTAGTGTGTTTGTCTGTTTATGTGTTTGTTTGTATGTGTGTGTGTGTGTGTGTGTGTGTTCAGTTCCAGCTTGTCTGAAGATATTGTCTCAGTGAATAGGCTTATACATTGTCTTTAATCCGATCTTTGATGAACAGCTTTTTCATTCATAATCACACACAGACACACATCTGTGCAGTCTGAGGAGACCAGAGCAGTACTGTGGGAAGTGATTTAACCCTTCATTGTCCACAAGACTAATTTCCATGTACCAACTGTTTCTTTTCCATTCAGCGAACAATGAGCCTAGGGATGGTAAGGAAAAGACACAACACACTATTTCCCCAACCTGCCTGTGCGTTCTGTTTTTGTGCCTGGGTATCTGATACTGAAAGTGTTCCTCCCAGAAGCCTGGGATTGCTCTGGTGATGGCCATCATTGGTGCTTTAGATCAAAGGTTTTCACTCAGCAGATGAAGATTTCTGGACATTGAGTATAACAATAATACATTTATTTATGCATCAAACGAAAGTGACAAAGTGCCTCACAGCAGATAGATAAAGGAAAGTTTAAAAAAAGAGGATGAAAACAATGCATAGACACTCAAAAGCAACTCGAGTCACAGGAAAGTCATCAGAGAAACTGTCAGATGAAACAAGTTGACGGTAAAATAAGTAAATAAAATACAGCTATAACAGAGAAGTTTATGACAGCGTCTTGCAATAAAAACACGCTTTCAAAGTAATTAAAAGTAGTTGTTAGATTGCTTCCACCAAAGCATCCGAGAGAGCGTTTGAGAGTGTTTCAATGTGAAGTGAACTCGACTCTGAAATGAACTGATGAGGTCTGGTTTATGAAAATTGATATATCCCTATGCTAGGTATATATCATATGTGTGTGTGATATGTGGATGTACTACAATATACTACTGCTGAATAATATTACCAGTAATACAATTGTTGCTTTCCTTATATGCTGAATACACGAGATAGAAGGAATTTGAGACACTGGGCGTTATATCTGGTGATGCTCTGATGATAAATTGATGAAATACTGAATAAGTAATCACTGTGAAATTACAGTACTATACATTCTATGTATAGTAGTATATTTTATGGATGGAATGGATAGATATGTTACTATTTTAATGTAGTAATATGCAGTCTGGGATAGAATATTTGATATCGCCTTATTCTACGGGTCCATAAATTCATAATTATTTCCTAAAAACTCTCTAGGAAGGTTCATGGAGGGAACTATGTCATTTGGCACTAATTATATGATAGACAATGTTCAATTGTTAAACAACCAAATAATCAGTTTCAATTGAATGCTAAGCTATGCAATTAAACATATATTAAGAATACAGTTTTCAGAAATCCTTGATAAAATAAAATAAATAAAGAAATATTTTCACAAGTTTAAATAAAGCAACTTTTTCAATTCGACCAACCCCTTTAAAACCCTCAAAAAAGTCCTCCAAATTGAATGATAAAATATGTTGTTGGTCTATGTCCTCCAGAGTGGCTTTCTGATCTGATGCCCCCATCGGCAAAATTACATCATTTTGTTGTTTTCATTTTACGTATTACCTGTCATTATTATGGTTGGAGACAATGTTTTTTGAAACACTACATTTATGTAACAGGAGGTGGTTGGGGTGTGTGGTGGGCATACAAAGTGTAGGGCTGTCACACTCATGCAACAAGGGTTAGGGTTATGGAACGATCATGATTTTGGTCAGATAAGGAAACAGTGAACATTTCACTAATACGTTCAGAATCAACATATTAACGACTTGTCTTCATTACCAACATTTCCTGATTATGTTAATGGAAAACAGAATTCGGTCTGCATAACATTTCTCTCTAAACATATTTACTGTTGCAAATTAGTTGTATATAAATGTTATGTCTATAAAATAAGACTGGAAAGGTTTGGTTAGGTTTTTGGCACAACAACAACTTGGTTAGATTTAGGTAAAGATTATAGTTTGGGTTCAAGTAAGTCTTTTGTTAAGGTTAGGGCACCCTCATTGCCATGGTTAATAATCAGATTAAGAGATTGAGATTAGGGAACAATTGTGGTTATGGTTAAAAGAAACCAATGTTGACTGTCAGTAGTAAATGGGAAACAAAGTCTCCTGTGTTAATTCTGACATTTTGTTGTCTATCCAGCCCCGCTTCCTCCTGATGTGAACTTTGTCTCTATTAATTTCACCTGACTTCTGCTTTTTTTCCCCAATGGCCAAGCATTAGAATTCCTACAGTGGTTGGGGCTTTTTCTGAAATTCTGTTGTTCTTCTTAGCAGGACAGGGTCAAACTAAACTAGTCTCTAAACTCTGTCTTTAATTTCCCTAAAATTAGTAACCAAATTCTTGTAATTACATAGTTCTTTCCAGGAAAGTTTGGAAATTATGAGGAAATACCGTGCCCGTAAAATAAAGCATTACTGAATATTTTGATGTGGGTTGTCTTCATTGTCCAACGTGTGTGTAGGGTCTGTAAGGGGGCTTCAGTCAATTAGGCCCTGCGGGCTATTGTACAACATCCATTCCCGGAGCCAAGGACAGTGTCTGGAGTTAATTTCACTGAGCAACCCTCATCCCAAACACAGCAAGTGTCCAGTGTAACAGTGTAGGAGCGTAAACATTCAAAAGTGTCCCCTGGGTGCCATTCCAGGATCAGCTTTACCCACTTAGCATTCTAACTGAAACCTTTTAAATCATCCTGAACATCTGAACTTGGATATATCCTCAGGGGCACTTTTGATTAAAAGATCAAATTAACTGAGCCCATAAAAGCAGAGAGAGAGGAAGAGGCGCGGATGGTGTGACTCTCTGAATTTATGGAGGCGCATGACCTTATTTGACACGTGACCCTGGATCCATTCTCTCAGCAACTGCTCTCGTCCAATGGATGTCCACCCAGGGCCCTACTCATTCTACTTGATTGGTGGTCCGATGTGCCTTTATCTTTACCTGCTGCTTGTCCATAAACCTCCTTTTCCTGTAACACAATATGGCGAGAGGAACAAGAGAAACCGTTTATGTAGATTATGTACAGTTAACAACCTCCTGACTTCTGCAGAATTAAAGTGATTTTTGAACTTGATTGTTGAAGACATAACTCATTAACAGTTGTGTTTTTTTGTAAAAGAAAAACTGTATTTGTAAATTAGAGTCAGAGAAAGAACAATGTGGTTTTTTTTTGGAATGTGAGAGCACGCCGATTTAATGTGTGAGTGTTCCTCACCTGAAGTCAAGATTATCATTGGGCCAATTAACGCTTGTGTTTAACAGCATCGCACACATACTGTACAAACTGACGTGTTCCCCGCTCTCTCTTTCTTCCCCCTCCTCGATGCAGAGTTGCCTCCTGATGGTAAGAGAAATGAATATGTTAGCGTCTCTGTAAAGCATATCAACTGACAAGCAAACACCTTACAGAGGTTACATCAATTTACTTGCAAAAGAAACAAGTGAACGGATAAAAGAGCAGCTTGTTTTTTATCGCCAAGATTAGAGTGTACAGCTTCAGTTTATATTCTGTCAGGGTGGCAGAAGATTGCTGAGAGTCAACCCTAATGTGATGTCTTCAGAGGTGATCTGAGGAGTTTCTTTATTCCCTGGGGCCAGTCTGTTCCAGGGGGCTCCTTGGTCGCATCTCATTTCTCAGAGGGTCCCAAATGGTTTATGCAGTGTAACAGCAAAGGCATTACGCAAGCCCGCAGAATGGTTTTGCCTCACACTGTTGTTGTAGTTTTAGTGCTAAATAACCATACAAAAGGAATAGATCCCTGAGCTCAGAGAGTGGGATTTGGCTGTTTGGGACTTCTTATCATCAAATCATACGTTTCCCAAATGATGAGTAAACAGGCATTTCACTGTAAAAGCACCGCAATTGCTGATTTGGAGGTTTGCTTGATCGACTTGTCTCCTGTTGTCGTCTACAATCTGTTTGCTGTGTCTTTATCTGAGTGGTGCCCCAATCCCTGATTTCCAGCTTTAATTTGTCCTCTGTGATTAATATTCAACAACCCTCACAGAACATGTGCCAGGGGAGGATCCTCAGATGTCTGAGCTGACCGGCCTGTTCGTGGTGAAGCCGGAGAGTGTCACAGCAACAAAAGGTCTGGAAAAATGATCCGCCATAAAAATCTTGAGTTATATCCAAAATGAAAGATTTAGCCCACTTAATGGCAAATTCCTGTTGGAATACAGACAGTTCATCTGTTCTAATTAATTACTGTGTCTCATTCTTGTTCGTGGCAGGCAAGGACATCACGTTTGTGGCTAAAGTTGACTCCTCAAACCTGCTGAGGAAGCCGGCCATGAAGTGGCTGAAGGGAAAGTGGCTGGACCTGGGCAGCAAAGCTGGGAAGCACCTGCAGTTCAAAGAGACGTATGACAGGAACACCAAGGTATACATGTTCATACTGTGTACAGGCTCTTAGGTCGGTTGACCACTTGGGTTCACACTGACATATCTATTGGATGGATTGCCATGAAATGTGATGAGATATTTATGGTCTCCATGAAGATTACTGACAGTCCTCCTCTAGCAGCAGGGGTTGACATTTGTATTTCAGAGTGAAATCTATAATTATTGGGTGGATTGCCATGAAATTTCTTACAGATATGCATAGTCGCTATAGGATAAAGTCTAATGACCTTAATGATCCCCTCTTTTCATCTAGTACCATACAGATCAAAATTTAAACATGCCAAATACTATAGGCTCTGCCCATGGGTTTTTTTTTAGGTTTTAATATAAAGCGCCAAACGAAGATGGGAAACCTGGTAAATATTACTTGCTAAACATCAGATGTTAGTTGTCACTGCGTCTAGTGTACATCTGCGTACCTCTAATTTTTTTTAACTTTTCTCCCCCCTGGCCCACATTGTTTCAAAAAGGAAAAAAATTATGTTTCCCCAAAAAAAAAAAAAAAAAAAATTGTTTTTGTGTTTGTCCGTCTGGGAGTATTCAGTCTATGTATATAAGGGATCGGGTTTTTTCAACTGTTTCCCCTTTCATCTTACAACACCTGTTTTATATGCTTTAACTGCAGCTTCAATGTTGAAATCTCAAGCTCACACAAACGATATTCTTTTTTCAACCATTTTTGTGTGTGTGTGTGTGTGTGTGTGTGTGTGTGTGTGTGTGAGAGAGAGAGAGAGAGAGAGAGAGGGAGTAAATGTGTCTCACAGTGCCTTTCAGCTTTTAAATACATTGGTGAGACTGTAGTAGTGTAGGTTTGCATAGTTTTACTGTCACCTATTTTAAATCACAACCCCCTCATTAAATTGACTTCCATGACACAGATAGGCCAAAATAAAAACTAACATTTTAAATCACGCTTAAAAAATGGTACATTCTCAAGGATGCATTAACCTACAGTTTGTTGTTTTTGCATTGAATGCGGTGCAGAGTGGTTAAAAAACTGAATTCAATGATAAATGTGCAATAAAACAAACTGCACTGACACTCTCATAAAACCCAATATGGGCCCGATGGCCCGTCTGTACACCGAGCGTGTGTTTGTGAGCACGTACTGTGTGTGTGTGTGTGTGTGTGTGTGTGTGTGTGTGTGTGTTTGTGAAGGGGTGTTTATTTAATCAGGTGTGTTCCCAGCATATCATCCCTTCTCTCGCTCTGTCAGATCTACACTTACGAAATGAGCATCATCAAAGTAGTGGATGGAGACGCAGGTGGCTACCGCTGCGAGGTCACCTCCAAAGACAAGTGCGACAGCTGCACATTCGAAGTCACCGTGCAGGGTAGGTCTGGAGACAGACAATCACATTATTGTCATCTTCCATTCAGCGTATCCACCATTACTATGTAACTGGCTTTGTCAGCCAATAACTCAGTGAGTGCGATACACATTAGGTCCTATCATTTAGTGGCCTAGTGAGGTCATCAGTCCATTATTCCTTTGCGGCTCAAGTCCGCTGGGTAATGAATTAACCTAGCCGAGCTCTCACCAGTCTTTCTCCTTCTGTCTGGTTTCAGCTGTACAAGAGGAGCAGCAGGACAACATCTTGGAGGCGTTTAAGCGATCGTGAGTGTCAGTGTCGGCAAGGGTCTACTCAACATGTCACCCATCACACTGTCTCCCATATGCTCCTCTGTAGATCGCTGCCTCTGGGCATCTGTCAGTCTCAACGAGTGTCTCTGCCTGTGTGTCTGTCTATCCCTCAGTTGTAGCTGACTTTTGTACGAGTCAGTCTTTCTGCCATTTCTCTCTTTCTGTCACGTCTCAATGCGTCTGCCGCCTTGGTGTTTTGCTTCACCTGGAGTCCCTCATGGTTTAGCTTCTTATGTATTTCGTCACATGTCTCGGTGACAGTCTCTGAAGGGACTTTTTTTTTTATATGTATCTCTTTCCCTCACTGTCTATTTCTGTCCTTGCTTCTGCCTGTTTATCTATGTGTATCCTGTAACTGTGTAGCTTTTTTTTTTATGAGTTCTTTTTATTTTTTCTAAATTTCAGCTGTTCTCAGCCTGTGTACTGTATGTGTGCTGTGTGATCGTAAATCAGCCGACACCTTCGCACTGACACCTTGAATCTCCATATTTGTAATCTGTGTTTAAAAATATAATTTCCTCCCCTCATTAGAGCATGAGTGGAAAGGCACAGGTAAGATGAGAAACACAACAGGCAAAAAGACAGCATCACATTGCGGTTTAGACAGGATGTCAGTGTGTTTATTTGCAGAATGCAGATATGAGGGAGAGAGAGGGCGAGGGAGAGAGGTTGGTGTGACAAATGAAAAGTGAAAAGTTGGTTAAAACTTAAATATGTTGCTGGAGAGATAATGGATGAGTATGTTAGACACCTTGTTAAGTGGAGGTCATGCAGCTCAACCTCTGGAAGGTAAGTATTGAGAACATTTCCTATGGGACGCTCGTCTGTGTGCTTTTCTTAACATGTATTACAGTAGCACAACCAAATACATGTGGTCTGACTCCATTCTTTAGGATACTCACTCCTATTCACTCATTATTTCTCTGGAGTTTTTTTATTCCACACTTTAATGTGTGCCTCATGTCTGAAATAGCCCAAGCTCTCCCTCATATGCCCCGGGCATATCAGGCTATTTTTTCTTCTTCATGTTGTCGCTTTGCTGACTGGTTGGCCAGTTGAAAAGGCTTCAAACGGAAACAGAAAATATTCTGTGGAATACATACTGTACACTTGCACGGCAGTCCGTTCGTGTTTCTCACATTGTGTAAGGCACAAAAACATTTCTTGCTCCTATTATGCCACAGTATGTTTATTCTTGACATGGCAAAGGGTCCAAGCGTGTCAGCCAACATACAGCATGTACTGAATGTTATGACAATGCTAGACACAGATGAATGCCAAAATAAAGAAAACATCAAGTGGTAATAATGTGGGGGGCTATGTGTATGCAGTTGGAGCAGGGCTAAAGTCTGTGTGAACGCACCCTTAGAATAGTGGTTTTGGCCAATTACTTAGTTCAAGTATACACACTTTAAGGTTTGAATTAACAAATATGAAAATTATTTTCAATCACGTCGTGTTTGTCTACATCAGCAGGAGTTTGTGTCACTGACAAATTGGATTGCATTTCAAGGGCTCCAGGAGAACTTTTTAAACTGGTGAGCCTGTATTTTTCATTTAGGCCTTTTCATTTACCTTTTTTTTTTGTCAGTTCAGTTTGTTGATCCCCATTTAATATACAGGAATTCACATTATAGACAATTTGGCCACAATATCACCCATTTACAATACACGGCCCAGGCATATACTAAGTTTTGACCTAGTCCTGTAGGTTTCATGGTCAGAATTAACTATACCTTGTTACCTCGCTGCACCTGCAGTTGCTGCTGCAGCAGCTTCGAAATTCTCCATATATTTCATATGAAATGTTCCTAATAACATAGGCTAATGTGAGAGATGAGCATTTTGTATTTTGCCCACATGTTTGCACCATGAAAGAGAGCTCATTATTGTAATCCCCTAATTCCCATTTTCATGTGAACTCTGGTCCAATTTGCTAGACCACAGCAGAATTGGAAAGTCCTTTTTTTCCTTTCTTTTACATCAATAGACTTGTAAAACTTGAAAACTGTGTTTAAACAAACTTTGTGTAAAAACATCCTGCACTCCCTTTCCTCCACAATTTGGTGTTTGATGATGGTGGTTATCTCATGCCGTATTCAAGAATCTCTCAAAAGTTCCCCTTAAAGGTAGCTTGAAATATAGCAATTGTTGTGGTGGCAGTACACCGCTGACATTGTTTTCATGCTCACCCAACCATTTGGTGATCACGTGTACCGAGGGCATTATCACCCTGGGAGAATTTACTCCCATCAGGATGGCAAGGACAACATGGATGGATGTTATCCTTGAATGAACCGTTCATCCATAGGACGAACATGATCACTCAGAATGGCTTTGAATTTATTGGCATTTATCTTGGTCTCTGAGGGGTTCAATGAGCCTCAACCATGGCAGGAAAACACACTCCATGCTGTTAAGGAGCTGCCAAAACTGTTCACAGTGGAAAACAACAAGCACTCAAGCCTGTAGACGTTTATTGGCGTGTGCCACACACAGTACTTAACACCTTGTTGAGCACAAGAGGGTGACTGATGACTCAAGACCACGTGGATTTTTCTCATCACTTGCAAATGTGCATGCGAGGGGTAATAAAGGGTTTATGCAGTGAAACACAGCAATAGTTTTCTGTCTCCCTGTCTAAACATATTATTCTGCATGAAACTGCCTTTTCTTGTTGCATCTCAAGTGTGACAAAGTCTCAGGCTTCCATTTAACATCACCTTTAGCCACATCCTGCTAACAACAGCTCATCCTTCAGAATTTGCCCAAACCGATCTTACAGTGTTTGTATGCTATTTTGCTTATCGCTTATTTTTGACATGTGTGTTGCTTTCATGTGCTTGTCTATTGTGATTTGTGTCTGTCACTTGAATTTAGGGCATGATGATAGCTTATAGACCTCATCAAATGCTCTGCTCTATGTTCTCACACATCCTATCTTTGCGTCTTTCCGAACACAGGATGAAAAAAGGGTAAGCTTTCACAGCAGGCACTAATTCATTAGAACTGTGATGTGTGCTGATGTATTTGCTCATATTGTCTTTGCTGGGTTTAAAATTGTCTTGTAATTTCTGTATGTATTTATAGGTCTGTGTAATGTGGAATAAAAGGGGATGTTTTCTGAATGTATATTTCATAATGCTGTTTTTTTCAGTATTCCATTCACCAGTGTTGTAAATAGCACAGTTTTATAAACATACCAAGATAATTCCCCTAAATATATCTTTTGTTTTAATTGCAGTGGAGATGCAGGCGAGGATGCTGGTGATCTAGACTTCAGTGCCCTGCTCAAGAAAAGGTAAGATCATCTACATCAGCTACAGACATACATAATAACATAAATTTGGATCTCTTAAATTTGGTAGTCTTACATTGGGTTCTCTCTCAGGGAGAAGAAACAACAAGTGGTCCAAGAAGAGGTTGATGTATGGGAAATCTTGAAGGCAGCCAAGCCGTGTGACTACGAGAAGATTGCCTTTGAGTATGGCATCACAGACCTGAGGGGCATGCTGAAGAGGCTGAAGAAGATGAAGAAGGTGGAGCCCAAGAAGAGTGACGGTAAGGAGCGAGGGAAGAGACTGGAGAGGGGTTATGAGGCAAAAGAAGACTGTGCACTATGAGTGAGGTGGCAGGCAGGAAACGAGAGCTCTCTAATGCAGTAGGCTGTAAATACCAGCAGCGTTTAAAGCCCTCGAGGGAAAAGTTATATTGCAGGGACAACAGGTGGAATGTCTGTTACCATATGCTTGCTGCTGGTTCACACTTATGGATTATTTGGCTGTTAACGCAGTGGTTAAACTATACTAACAGGATACTTTGTTGTCAGCTTTCCTGCGGAAGCTGGATTCAGCCTACTCAGTGGACAAGGGCAAGAGGATCCAGCTGTCTGTGGAAGTGGCTGACCCCAACGCTCAAGTCAAGTGGCTCAAAAATGGACAGGAAATCAAACCATCAGCCAAGTGAGCAAATTACTACTATTTAGGTGCTGCACTGAGCAGTCTATGTATCTGTGTGAGTGTAAAATTGTACTGAAGTGAGTGTACTGGTATGCAATCTGATCATTGTTGGTAGTTTAATGAGTTTGGAACAACAGGCCAAACGATGTAGTAAAAGGCTGTAATGAAAACTAATATTTAAATTCCGAAGACTTTTTTATATTGCTGACATTGCTGGTTGATTGGTGGGTTTATCCTGGTAGTTGCTGCATCCAGAAAAAAAAAAAAAAGTAATCTAGGCACAAAACAGGGAGACTGGGAGAAGCGGAGGTGGGTAAAGCTGGTAGCAACCTCCATAACTGAGGGTGATGGGCTGAGACTTCCATCAATCAAGCAAAATTAAACATGAAATGTTACAATGCTCCATTATGTTCACCAGCTAGTCACTAACATGGTCTGTGTGGCATTTAGTGCTAGGTAACAGATTTATTAGGGCTGTTTTTCTACAAACAGCTGCCTGCTGGAGCTGGAAATCAGGTTGATGCATGGTGAGATTGAACTGAAACACTAAAGTTGTGGAACGAAAGCCAAAATGTGAGTGAAAATGTGGGTTCACAGCTAAAAGTGTAGCTTTTCCCATTATACATATTTATTCTTTCCATTATTAATATAAAACTATTGATGACTGCATGGTTTGATGAAACTGAGTTTTTTAAGTTTCAGTCACATCAGTGCAGGTGGAGTTTTTCCTGGACAT